TTTTTGTATGTTTTCTAGTTGTGAATTTATTTTGGCATTTTGTTCCTGTATTATTTTCTTGAATTCATCCATTTTTTTGTTTGTATTTTCCATGAATTTGTCTGCCTTTTCCATGAATTTGTCTATTTTTTCCTCATTTTTGTCTGCTTTTTGCTTCAACTCTTGGATAATTCTGAATATTAGAGATGTAAATTCCCTATCAGGTCTAGTGCCTTTTCTTCTACTGGATGGTCATATGGTGTTTATTTTGGATGCCTACTGGAACCATCCTGTCCTGTTTTTGTAAATGATTTGATATTGTCTGCTGTCTTCAGGGCATTCAGTGGTTATTTTCCTTGTTTACTGATTGTAGATTTGTTTGTTTCATCCTGCTTTTTTGTTTAATTTGGTTATGTCTGAGCAGACAGGCTGTGCGTTCTTTGTCGTTTGCTTGTCTGTGGGCACGATACTTTTCACCTCCTTCTCCAATGGGCAGGGTCAGTCACTCAGGTATGGCACCGCAGGGCAGGTCCAGCTGAAGTGGATTTGCTGGGATGGGTTGTTTGTGGCACGTACCAGGTCTGATAGTACGGACTGGGAATCAGTGCAGGGCAGGTTCCAGTAGGCCGTGCCTGTGCTGCTTGGGAGTGTGATGTTCAGCGCACAGTGCAGTTAGGCAGGAAGAAGCGGGTAGATTGTAATGTGTGGAGCTGAGATGGGTATGGGAAAGATGACAGAGAGAAGAGAGGAACAGGAGTTAAAAACATACACACAAACAAAAAAGAGTGCTAAGGGAGCTTGCTATTGAAGTGGAGAGATGAGACACTAAGAAATGAGGAAAAACAAAATGAAAAACAAAGAGTAAAAGAAAAAAATGAATAAATCAAGAAACTGAAATGAAGAAAGACTAAAAGGAATAAGAGAGAGAATAAAACAAAACAAAGAAGGGGGAAAAAGAAACAGAAACAAAAACAGAAAATAAGAAAGAGAAATGCCCCCACTGATGTCCCTGTGTGTCTGCACGGAGTAAGGGAGTAGCTTCGAAGCCACGTGATACTGCCTGGCTAGAAGGGGCTCCCAAGCCGAGTAAAGAAAAAGAAAACAAACAAAAAAATCATAACAAATCAGAGCAAACAAACAAACAAAAAGGCCCTGGGGTTCCTACCAGGGTGACAGCATGGGCCAGGAAGAGTTTCACAGTTAAGTGGTGTTTCGCAGCCTTTCAGGAAGAAGCAAAGATGGCGCACGGAGCCAAGTATTTGAGAGAAAAGAGAGGGAGGTGGTGAGAAGTAAGGAAGAAATCTAAAGATGCAGAAAAAAGCAACACCAGCAGCCAACAGAAGGCACTCAGGGAGGTGTGTAGAATCCAAGCAACACTCAGGTGCTTCCTGGCCAAGAGACTGTGGCTGCAGGAAGCAGAGGAGACTAAGTTGGGATGAATAAGGGTGGGAGTGGGAAGGCTTATATTGCTGGTTACTGGTTGTTCTATCTTCTGCTGGAAGCTCCATGAAGCTGCTTTCTCATACCCCCTGTTTGCTGATCTCTGATAGGAGTGCCAGATGGTGGATCCGTGGTGTGGTAGCTGATAGGGGACCTCTGCGTGTATCTCTCCTCACTCTTTGCTCTCGGTCAGTTTCTTATTCCATTTGGTGCTTGGCTGAGTTCTTTATCTCTTCATTTGATGTGTAGGATTTCAGGATTGACGTGTGACTCTGTTTGACTTAGTTTTTTTGATCTTTGCTGTGGAGGGACGGCGTGGTGCTTCTGACTATAGTGCCACGTTGCCCGGAAGTCTCGATTTTGTTTTTTGGGTTTTTTTTTTTTTGACACCTCCTTCCCCCACCCCCACAAATGATTCTTTGAGTCTTAAACTAAGAGTAGTATTTTGTTGTTAATATTAGATGCTTTTGAGTCTGACCCTGACTCATAGTGACTCCATGCACAACGGAACCCATTCTGTATCATACCCATGATAGGTTGTGATCCCCATAGGGTTTTCATTCACTGATTTTCAGAAGTAGATGACCAGGCCTTTCTTTCTAGTCCATCGTAGTCTGGAAGCTCTGCTGAAACATGTTCAGCATCATAGCAACACCTAAGTCACCACTGACAAATGAGTGGAGGCTGCACATAAGGTACATTGGCTGAGAATCTAACCCAAGTCTCCTGCATGGGAGGCAAGAATTCTACCACTCCATCCGCCATTGCCCCCAAGAGTAGTATTTTAATGACTGCTTATTTAAAACCTGATATGACATTCGTATATGTCTGTTTATAAACTATATAGTTTATAAAATTAAAAATTGAAGGTATTGCTTTGTTTATTAAGAAGTGCCCATCCTGGTTCTTGCAGATGGTTGTGGAAACTGAGAAATGCAGCATCTCAATGAAGATGACATCGCCTGAGGATGTGACTGAAGTTCTGGCTCACATTGGTACCTGCCTGTGCAAGATATTTCCTGGCCTCTCTCCAGTGTGAGTTCATCCTGGGGAATGCTGAGGAGAGCAGAAGACTTTGCCTTTCTCTTGCCGCTTCAGTTAGCTCCTCTTATCATACTTCCTTCTCTTAAACATTAAATATCAAAACCCTCACTGAAGCCGCTGTGTTTTATGTCTAGGGTTTTCCTTAGAGCTGTGCCAGATTCTTTAAAGAACGTATTAATGAAGGGTTTTGACAATCCTTTAACCTCTAGTCACAAGACTGAAACAGAAACCTTTTTATATACCTTCAGATTTACCCTAGTGTAAATTTTACTCACAGCTATTAGCAGATGCCAGAGGCTGAATGCTTTGTATAAAGACATCAAGTTTAGTATAATGAAGCTCTTCATTTTCCCCTTTTTCTTCTTTTCTGTAAGAAGAAACTTTAAAAAAGTAACCATAAAAATTAGCCTCTTTTGTTTTCCTCTTAGTTTTCTGAAATGCACATTAGGAATATTATGTAATAAATTTTGCCTGTACGTGCCCTCATTTTTTTTTTTTTTTTGGTAAATATTTTTAATTAGGATTGTATGCTTAGCTAACAGAGTTGGTAATGGGGAGTCTGTGGGTTGTTGGAATGGGTAATTGTATTGACTGAGGTGAAAAGGCAGAGAGATCTTACGTGAGAGAGATGCCTAAAATAAAAAGTTCATAGTCAAAATATCTTCCTTATGGAAAGAGTTGATACACAGATTGTAGAACATCCTTCACTTACCCTTGCTTTCACATCACCCTGAGGAAGTATACTTGGGAGGCTATTGGGCCAGCACATAAGTGTGTCTAGGTTCGTTAACTGTGTGCCTCACTTGGTGACGGTGAGAAGGGAATTTTGGGGACTTTTGCCCTTCCTTCATGGAACAGGTTCCTACAATACCCCGCTTATAAAGTAAGAGGCAAACCAGCAGGAAAACCTAACCTTGGTGTCTTTCAAGCTTTTTGAGTGACTGAAAGTAGTTCAGTGGGGTATGAACTTCCTTGTAATCTCTTTGGCATTAGGAGACCTGCTTGGTTCTCCTCATAGCTCTTCACTTGATTTTCTCTTTTCATCCCTCCACATGGGGTAAAGACACCAGAATGGAAGGAGTAGCCCTGTGCTTTCTAGTTGTTCTTGTAGCAGTTGCTCCTTTCTGAGGTTTACATCTCCTTGCGCTCCTTTGAGTATTGGGGCAGCTGGGAGCCGAGGGAGCTAAGTCACCTGGCTTCATTTCAGTGGAGTGGAATGAGCAAGCTAGAACGGCCCTCCAGCTCCTGCTTGGCTAGATTTCCAGGTATGAGGTATTTTCAAGGCAAACTCTCTGTGGTTTGAAGTCATGCACACTGTTGTGTATGTGGAGGAGAGACACGTTCTGGGATGGGGGAGTAGGATACAGTGAGGAGTGAACTAATAGTGGCAGTGGGGAAATACCAGAAGTTAAATATTCCTTGGAATGCTCTCTGTATCATCCTTAAAGCCACCAGAGAACTATCTGGAGTAATCATGAGTTAGCAATAACTACAACTCATTTTCCTTAAACTCTGTTTTAATAATGCCACTTTATATATCTGGTTCCTTATAATGTCCTCCCCTTCATTCCAAATTAGCACTGATGAAGTTAGAAAATTATTAGGCATAGCCTTACTTAGCAAGGGCTTATAATACCCCGAACTTTAAAAACACCTTTGGGCAACATTTATATATATATATTTTAAATGTAGCTTTATTTGTTTAATATTCCAGGGGATTTTGGGGAATTAACAGTTTACTTTTGGTTTAGATACTTCAGAGGTTTCTTCCCAGAGAAAATTGGGTAGAAATAGTGTTTTCACTTCTATCTTACACTTAATCACTTGTTAAAATTTTCAGGCACAACTATTAAACAAGTATTAAATAATCACCTGTATTTCTAGAGAGGCAGTTACTAATTACTTAATTATATATAAGCTGGCTTCTAAATCCATGACCTTCACCTCACCCTGATCTTCATTTCCATTCTCCTGGCTGCCTCTACACAAGGATATCTTCAAGTACATCACACTCAGTATGTCCTAAACTGAACTCCTCCTTTTTACCCCTAGAACTTGCCACATATCCTGTTTCATCGCAACAAGTGGCTTCATCATTCACAGTCTCCCAGCTGAGCCACCTTCGTTTCTTATTCCTTATTCTAACATCTAACAGTTGCCAAGCTTTTTTCATTTTATTTTAGTATCTCATTGTTGGGCCCTTTCTCTTTCTTCTCGTTTCCACTGCCTTAAGACCATCTTGCTTCTCACAGTGCAACATCTTTCTAGATAGCTTCTCTGCGTCTAGTTCTTCCCCTTGCAACTGCCCTCCATACTGCCTCCAAAGAGTTACTGTTCTATAATAACTTTGGTGAGCAAGGCCCTTCAAATATTATCTTGTCTGTTCCCTGCATGACTTCTCTAATGTCTTGTTGTCGTTGTCAGTTGATGTCAAATCCATTCCGACTCATGGTGACTTGTGTGTGCAGAGTAGAACTCTTCCATAGGGTTTTCAAGGCTGTGACCTTTCAGAAGCAAATCGCCAGGTCTATATTCCGAGGCATCTCTGGGCAGGTTTGAACTGCCAAAGTTTTGGCTGGTAGTCGAGTGCTTAACAGTTTGTGCCAACCAGAGACTCCTCTGTAATGGCTAGTCTTCCAGATAAAATCTTAATTATACAGCCTGGCTTAGAAAACCATTGCTATCCTGATCCCTTAAGCCTGCTTGTTCTCAACACGTTAGGATCTTAACACTTAGGAGCCCTGGTGGTTCAGTGGTTAAAGGAACTGACTGCTAACCCAGAGGTTAGTGTTCAAAATCACCAGCAGCTCCGCAGGAGAAAGATGTGGCAGTCTGCTTCCGTAGAGAGTTAGAGCCTTGGAAGCCCTATAGGGTTGTTATGAGTTGGAGTCGACTTGATGGCAGTGAATTTGATTTTTTTTTTTTGGTAATCCTGACAATACAAGGGCAGTGATGGTTCATTGGTAGAATTCTTTTCTTCCATGAGGGAGATCCGGGTTCAAGTCCTGGCCAGTGCACGTCATGCACAGCCACATCCATCTGTCACGGGTGAGTTGTGTGTTGCTATGATGCTGAACAGGTTTCACCAAAGCTTCCAAACTAAGGCAGACTAGGAAGAAAGGCCTGGCAATCTACTTCTAAAATATCAGCCACTGAAAATCCTGTGGATCACAATGGTCTGATTTCATTGTGCATTGAGTTGCCATGAGTAGGGGGCCGACTAACAACAACAGTCCTGACAAACTTCTACTCCAAAAGGCATAGCTCAGGTATCCTCTCATCTGTAAGGAGTTTCTTTATTTCTATAGGCTCCTTCATTCATGTTACCCTAGAACTTTGTAACCCAGATCACATTGTGTTATAATTTGTTTATACACTTACAGGTTCACTGGGTATTTTTTGAGATTCTACTCTATGCTAGGCAGAGTGCTAAGTGTTGGTGTCCAACAGTAAACAGGCCCTTGCTCACATGGAAGTTATACTCTAACAGGGGAAACAGACCCCAAGAAAGGAAATAAATAAATAAAGCAATTGTAAATTTTTAATAAACGTTGTGAGAGAAACAAACAGGGAGTTGGGAGGGATAAGATAAAGGATAACTGCCTGGTAGCCAAAGGCCTCCCTGAGGCCTTGATACTTGAAGAGACTCAATGGAAGAGAAAGAACCAGTTACATAAAGAGGGTGTGAAGACCGTTTTTCTGTTAGGGCCTTTGCTCATGCTATTCCTTCTGCCTGGAAAGGAGTTGATGTCTTGAGGGACTGAAAGACAACCAGTATGGCTGGAGTATAATTAGTTGCAAAGATTGGAGGGAATGAGAAATGGTGCAAGATGAGGCTGGAAACAGGCAGTGGCCACGTAAAACCTTGTGGTTAAGAGTTTGGAATTTAGTAGTATTTCAGTGGAAAGCCACTATAAAGTTTTAAGCAGGTATATGACATGATTTTTATTTATTTTATGAGAAAATTTTTGCTGCCAGATAGAGAATGGATTAGGAAGGGGGCCAGAGTAAAAGGCTAATTTGGATACTTGTAGTAATGTAAGCGAGAGATGATTGTGGCCTGGAGATGAATATACCTGGCATTGGAGATAAAGATAACAGGGAGGGTAGATACGGAAGTTGCTGATGGGTTAGGTAGGTAGCTAAGAGCAGTGAAGAAAGGGACGAACTAAAAATGACTTCAAGTTTTCTGAATTTTGTAACTTATGATCCATGCTGCCTTTCAATGAGATGCAAGAGTCTCTGGGTGGCAGAAGTTGTTAAGTGCTTGGCTACTAGCTGAAAAGTTGGCAGTTCACATCCGTCCAGCGCTTCCTCAGAAGAAAGCCTTGGCATTCTACTTCTGAAAAATCAGTCACTTAAAACCCTGTGGAGAACAGTCCTAACTCTCAAACACATGGGATTGCCATGAGTTGGAATTGACGTGACAGCAACTGGTTTAGGTTTTTCTGTTTGTTTCATTGAGATGGAGAAGGCCTAGGGTAGATGTGAGGAAAAATTTTTTTTTGGGAAAAAAAAATCCAACTGTTCCATTTTAGGCATGCTAAATTTGAGATCTAGGATATCTAAATAGGGATATCAGGTAGGCAGTTAGAGATGTAAGGAAGCTCTTGGAGGTGAGGTCCAGGTCTGGAGGTGTACTCATCTGCATAAAGGTGGTCTTTAATTCATGACTGTTGACCAGATCACCTAGAGAGACGTGTGGATCTAGAAGAGAAGGTGTCTCGGAATTGAGCCCAGTGTTTAGAGGTCAAGTCAAAGAGGAAGAGCCACAGAGGAGCTGTATCCTGGCTGTTGAGACAGGAATAAAACCGGAGCAGGAGGATTTCCTGAAGGGAGTGGGTGACTCTGCAAAATGATGCCAGTGAGGGAGTAAACAAGATGAGGGCAGTGGGGTCTCCAATGGACTGCCAAACACGTAGGGCATGGGTGACCTCAACCAGAACAGTTTTAATGGTGGAGCCCTGGTGGCACAGTGGTTAAGTGCTCAA